GAAAGAGCTAGACATGCTCACGAAGGACCTCATGCACAAGGACCAGAGCTGGATTGGTCTCCTCTCATGTGACATCTTGTGCCGCCGACAAGAGCGCAAGACTCGAATTTTCATCGTCATAGATGATCTCGACCGCTGCCCGGAGGGCAAGATCGTCGAGGTCTTGCAAAGCATGGTGCTCTTGTCGGAGAAGACTCCGTTCATCATCGTATTAGCAGTGGACCCACGCATAGTCACCAAAGCGATCGAGAGCAGCTTCGGAGAGAGGCTCCTGCGGGCAGGCATCAATGGCTGCAACTACTTGGACAAGATCCTCCAGCTCACCTTTGTCATCCCACAGATGACGAATGCAGATGCTAAAGCCTTCCTTGAGGAATCAATCAAGGCAGTTGACCAGAAGAAGCAGGCACTCCAAAGCCCCCCCGTCCCCACAAAACAACAACTCGCCATTGACGAGGAGACACTTCCAGGCACAGCTGATGCCCGGGAACATCCCGCCTTTGACAGTGTGAAACCTACACCACAAATAGCGCCGGCCATCCATCTGGTCCAACTGCAGATCCTCCTTTAGATGTAGATCCTCCGGTACCGCAACAGTCAAGTGTCGTGAAGGAGTCAGACTCCTCCGCGCCGAAGGTGCCGCCCAAGAGCCCGCAGGGCTTACTGACTGAGCCCACAGCCTTCAGTCAAACGGAGCTAGGTTGGTGGAACTACTTCATGAGCTTCACCGACAAGAACCCCCGACGAATTCTCCGACTGCTCAACATGTATGCAGTCGTGCGCCAGCTTATCCCTTCCACTAATCCCGATGATGAGTTCAGGGCCAAGCTAATGAAGATTCTTCTCCTCATGGAACAATGGCCCTACCGAATGTCTTGGCTTTTTCAAATCGTAGACGACCACATGCAGATGCAATGCCTGGAAGATCTCAGTTGGGAGCTCTTGCCCGCCGAATCCAAATCGAAACACAACAAAGGCATCCCAGCTGACCTCAAGACGAGTTCATGGGACTGGCAAGAGCAAGAATCTCTCAGCATCATGCGGGAGTGTCTGAACCATCTGCTGTACGGCGAGAACACATTCTGGCAAGACAACGCCGGCAGCACCTTGGCAGACAGGAGAACCTCCATCGGCATCGACAGCGACCCCGAGGTCTTCGAGATGTTGCTGGCATGTCCACCTTTGATTACCATTCAGGATGTTGTCTTCAAGAATGAGACGTGCCTCAGGAGCTTAGTCATCAACAGAAATATCTCCCTCGCCGACCATGTGGCCTATGAGGCAAGCCAGCGGGTCAAGCAGACACTCCCGTCGGGCAAGTTGCAGTACAGGCGCCGGGCATCCCTTTTCCATGATCTCAAATTAAGCAGGGAGGGTTCGAATACCGGATGCTCCCAGAGTTGTTCAGTGCAAGTGCAAACAGAGCCACAGGAGCTAGCATGATCAGCTCTCCGTACCAGCCCTTTCGCCTCGTGCAGAGTCAGAGTTCTAAGAATCCACTACGATGCAAACTTGTGTCTGGACTTCGACTGACGAGCAGATGCTGGAAAGAGTACCGCTGCCAGGTGCTGTCATGTCTTGCATCCATGCATGAGGGAAGGTAGGTTCGCGAGAGCTGCTGATCTCTTCAATTGCGATGAACTGGCGTGCAACTTGAGGCTGCCTTGGCAGCTCGCTGTCCATTCTTAACCTTCAGCACGCTCCTCGTACACCCCAGAGCACGCAAACCTCGAACCCTGCAAGCCCTGCGCCCCTACGGAACTAAACGCGAAAGATAGGCCCTCCATCCCAGGAAGCCAGTTGTGGAGCCGAACACTGACTCCCAGAATTCCTCCTCCTCGGATTCCCGGGGCGGGCTGGACCTGGTGGTGCAGGTGAGGGACCCAAGGTTTAGAGCTTAGGGGTTTAGGGGGTTAGGGTTTGGGGTTTACTTCGGGATTGTTGGGAATGTGTCTCTCATTAGACAAGCCCTGCACTAAACCGGTTGCTCATACTTGGGTAATTTTTTGGTGACATTGTGACATTCAACATTGGACCCAACTGAAGACACTGAAGACCCCAAGAGAAGCCCAAGTTCCTTTGCGAATCCGATGCCGCTCAGGACGTCGGGCCAGGCCGCCTCGATGGAAACGAGGGGGGTTATTCGGCTGATAGGGTTCGGGTCGGCTTATGGGGTCAGGCACCGCGAGGGGTTTAGGGTGGTGCTTTGCAGTGCATTGGCTGTGCTCGTACTCGGGTGCACAACACCGAAATGTTGCCACAACCGATGGACATCCGAATACTAAACCCTGCACCTGCAAGCGTCGAAGCCTGTTCAGCCCTCAAGCTTCGCACAAATTATTCATAACTTGTAACACTTCTCTAGATTTCTTCAGCACTTTTGCCTAGAACTGTGGACCTGTGGACTTTTGAGCCGCGCAAGCCCTGAACCCTAATCCCTAAGCCCTAATCCCTAAACCCTCAACCCTAAACCCCTCAACCCTCAACCCTAAACCCTACACACAAAAAGGCCAAGGAGGCGGCACCGAGACAGAACTGGAGGATGTCACCTTGCACCGGTGTCTGGGATTTGTTTTAGGGTTTAGGGTTGCTTCCGGCCAGGACATCATAGCCCGGATGCAAAAAGGGTTGCGGGTGTGAAGAAGACTTAGTCATGCTTAGGAATCTCCATTAATTACGATTTGTTGCGAGATGATCAGCTTGTCCTTATGTTTGAGACTGTGCCTGTTGATTGGCTTGCTAGAGTATGGGAGTCCAGTCAGTAGCACTGGAAGCCTGTACTTGGGCAGCTTCTGGCAGCACCCACGGGTGTCCGGATGCAAAAGGGTTGCGGGTGCAAAAGTTTAGGGTTTAGGGTTTACGGTCTCGAGTTTAGGGTTTAGGGCAACATCTTGCTTGTACAAGGTTCCTTTCCCTGCCGATCAGAGCGCACATTCGGCCTCAGAGTTTCGGGTTTAGGGCTATTTGCTTGACAGAAACAAGGGGTTACCTGTTTCGCATGTGCACGGGGGCCTTCGACGACGCAGTGTTCAAAGTTTGGGTTCAGCCTCAGGACTACACCCTTTCGAACCAATTGTTTTTGTAAAGAGCCTTGTTAAGGGACTTTAGGGTTGATAGCCCATCCAGCCGCCAAGGCTTGCTTTTGACGAGCTTCTCCTCCAGTTGCGAGCAGTGGCAGAGCAGTTGCAGAGGACGTTTCGCACGTCCATGTGTGGGCTTTTGAGTTCAGCCAAATCTGGAGGACATGATTTTCCAATGAGCTTGGCGCAAAGGCTTCGTGTAAGTTCAGCTGTCGCCAGTGCTCAAGCCCAAGAAGGAAGCCTAATTACCCTGCGTGCCTTAGGCTTGCGATTCAGTGTGGGCAGAAGATGCTGCTCCACTTCAGTTTTTAAAAGGATCGGAACCCCAAGCAATGGATGGGGTCATCAGGAAGTATTTACGGCGTCCAGGTGCAATCAATTTTCAGCTCGAAGACGCTGCTAGCTTGGGCTCCCCTTCCCGAAAGGGCAGTGGGCGGGGGTGGGGAGGGTGCGGCTGGCCAAAACAAACCCCTGAGTAAGCCCTCCACGGTTCATCCCCACAGCAGGCCCTAAACCCCAAACCTTAAACCCTAAACCCTAAACCCTAAACCCTAAACACCCAGTTTGCTCCACGTGCAGGAGGCAAGGTGATGCCCGGCTAGGCGAGTCCCTTCGGAACTCGACCTTCGAGCAACATCTTGTACATGCCCTTCAGGGGTTTAGGGTTTAGGGTTTAGGGTTTAGGGTTTAGGGTTTAGGGTTTAGGGTTTAGGGCTATACCTTGGCCCCTAAAGCCTAGACTTGTCGCAGGGGTGGTAGATACCTGAGAGCTAAACAGCTTACGATGCCCAAACACGTCTTGGAAGCCCCTCGGAAGGGTCGAAATCACCCAGCACTTTCTGATGCCTCCAACTCTACACCCCAGAACCCTCAAGCCTTCAACCCGAAACCCCTCAATCAGCAGGACCGTTGTGGCAAGCCCCCAATCTATCAATGAGCCAAGCCACTTCACGAGTGGAAGGCGAATATTTGCCCATCCGCCTGGAGAAGCTCAATGCCGCTATCCTCGAGGCTGATCTACACAGGAGTTTGGGCAGGACGTTTAGGGTTTAGGGCTTTGGGGTTTATGGGGTTTAGGGTTTGGGAACTAAACTTGTACTACACTTGTTCACAGAAAGCCCTATGATTATCAGGGCCCCCTATAGAATCAGAATTCTTAGGCACTACACGACACAAGGCCTTCGTAATGAGGTATATACAGGCCCCACCATAGCATTCCGAGATAACCTTTGAACTTCTTCAGGCAGAGGTGGTTCGGGTTGGGAGAGAGCTCCTGGTTGAACGGGCTTGGGATGATCTGTTTTCTTTCCAGGAAGTTGCGTCACCTGCTTGCTCGCTCGCTCCATCGGTAGGTCGAATTGGCCCGCGCCGATGCGATGTGACCCAGTGGCTTACCTGTAGCCGTGGCAGTCGTTCTCTTTCAGACAGCCTTGGGGAGGACGCTGCAAAGTTGTGATTGTGGTCGATAAGGTTTGTTTTGACCTTCCTCCCTTTCAGCGTTAAGAGAAGTGAGAGAAAGGCAGTTGCTGTTTCCACGCAGAGGACTTCTGCAGCCCCTCCCCGGGGTTCGCCTTAGCACCTTAGCTGGTGGCAGGTGGGAGGTCAAGACGCGCACAATTGCCAATTTGCTGTTCGCAGTCTACATCAAGCTAGGGCTTTTAGAAACTACGGAAGCTCGTGAGGGAGAGCCTTGCACCTGCTGCTCAACGCAGTCAGCCGATGTCTCTGCGAAGATGGCAAGACATGGGAAGGAACCGCCTGTGAACCACTTGGTTGTCGGACGTGAGACAGGCTCGAAGTCTAAGAAATCCGTGCCTGCTGAGGGCCAGCCAACAGCTTCCTCCTTCTTGACAGAGAGTGCGAGAGCCAAAGTGCCAGAAAGGCCAGGTAGGCATTCGTTCTTTGAAGATGGCTTGCCAGGCGCTTCTTGACGCTTGTGCCAAGTCCCCCACGGTCTGTTCTGCGTTGCGCCTGGCCCCCGAGACGCGCAGGGCATGGTTTGAAGGAGTCAGGAGTGGATTTGGACAGCTTTCAGTTACGTTGCTTTAGAGTCTCCTGGGTTCGGGCACGGCAAGGATGGACGCGGGGCTTAAAATTCGGCTGCAGAAAGGAGAAGAGAGGCGAAGGAAGCAAACTAAAACTGGCAACCGGTACTGGGTCTCCCTGCCTGCGGGCCGGCCCAGTTCCACCCCCACTCGTCTCACAACTTTGCCGGTGCGCCTGCTTGGGATGGAGTCGATTCCTAAGCCCCCCCCCCCCCCCCCGACCTACAGCCGAGCCCCCAAACCCGCTAGAGGAACGTGTAACAAGGGTTTAGGGTTGAGATTGCCAGGGCTGCTGCTTCAGGCACGTCAGCAAGAGGGCGAAAACACTGGTTTTAAGGTTTCGGGCTTAGGGCAACACCACAACATAACCCCAGAGACAGCACCGAGTAAACCCAAGACTCTTCTGCCCTTGCCCCGCAGCACAGGCCCAGACTCCCTCCGCTTTTTGGAGGGATCACCTTCCCAGGCGACGGGGTCCCCGATTTAAGGGCCCATACAAAGGGACCATACAACTGCCCTTCGAGACATATCTCCCCATGGTTTCAGGCGATTCGAGAATATTAGGAGTGTGTGTAAGCTTTCGTCGCTTCGGCTACGAGGCGTGTGTGTGCTGAGGGGGTTACAGGGCGTCGAGCTTAGGGTTTAGGGGGTAGGGTGCTGGATTCCATTCAACGGCTTTCCGGCTGCTGAAAGGCCTTGTCATTGAAAGAGTAGCATCTGAGCACCGTAAGGCAAATGTGGGTTGGTGGTCTCTTTATGTAGGGTTTCTGTTTCATAGGGGCGTATATTCGGGCTTCTTGTTTGGGTATCTAGGGGCTATATTCAGGTGTAAGGACAACAGCTAAAGAGGCCACCGGCCTTTCTAACCTACACCCATGAAGTCGCATAAGGCACTAGCGTTTGGAGAGACAGGATCTGGACTTCGGGGATCTGAGGGCTGTCTACGTTTTCTTGAGAGTTGGGTGAAGGGTAGAGGGTTTAGGGTTGGTCCGGGAGTTATGGTGCAAGACTAAGACCTAAACTCAATACTCTGTGAACGCTTGCATTCCTGTGGCGTGGTGGGAGTCTGCCAGACAGATGATGTGTATTTGCACGTGGGTGTGGGGTTCCGGGACCCGAACCCACCTTTTGGTTGTCCTCCATTAGCTGAATCACGCCCACATTGCGGGGCTAACCAGCTGTTCGGGATTTGGCCTCCCGGACATTATGGCTTCGCCGCGCACACACACACACACAGACACATAATTACATGGCAGGCACAATGCTGCCGTGATGTGGTAGAAGAGAGGGGGTCCTATTCAGGAATGCATCTTAGAGGGTTTTAAAATAGCCAACATCGATGAACATCACACTCTCAGAGCCCTGTTCAGGCTGCAGAACCGCCTCGCTCTCAGCAGATGCTTTGCAGCTTTGTGTTTTGTTGCTTTTTTTTGTGTGTAAAGCCCTAAACCCTATTTAAGCCAAAAACCCGTATAACCAGAACCCCAAAATCCATGGTTCTGCAAGGCGGCGACCCAAGACTGCTGAAAAGGGCCTAAGAAGCATAAGAAGCATAGGGAGAGTTTATTCTACAATTTAGCGGTCCCTGCAGGTAAGCCAGTAAACGCGCCCAGAGAGGCGTCCTAAACGGCTAAGGTTAGTTGGCGCCTTGGCGACGGCAGCTGCTCGGGCACCCAGTCGGGCCGATGATGCTTTGGGTTTTTCAGCTCTTGCTGAGGGGGGGGGGACGATATAAATCCTTAACCCCAAAATAGAAAGTGTCAATGGGGCCATAGAGGCCCAGGAGGAGATGTTGGTAGCCTAGGGCTAAGACCTCACTTCTTTGGCGGTTTTTGGACCATAAGTGGGAGCTTGCCAGTCGAAACTAGAAAAGGCAAGATGCCACAATGCCACAATTGACCCAAAGGATCCATGTACCTATATAGTATATACTTCGGCCTTAAAGGGGTTCCTATATAGTAGCTTTAGGGCCCAAGTATATACTATATAGGTACATGGATCCTTAGGGTGAGGACAGTTCTGAAGCCCTATATGCTGAGGAACTGCTGTTGCTGCCGGGTTGCCAGGCTTTGTGGCCGCGACTGCTGGAGGCCGGACGGTTTAGGGTTTAGGGTGTAGGGTTTAGGGTTTACGGTACCCCAAGTAAAAACACGCGAAGCCTCTAAACCCTACCGGACTCGGGAGCCTTGATTTTCGGCAGCAAGATTGTACTGCAATAAAGAAGCCAAAAAGGGCCCATAAGTTTAGAGTGGCCCACAAACAGCAAGCAGTTGTGGTCATGGTAGCCGTTGCCCAGTGCAAACCTTGAAACCATCCTTGTAAGCACAATATAGACTAATATAGGCTACAGTGCCCCCCCCCCCCCCCCCCCCCCCGCAAAAAAAAAAAAGAAAAACAAAAAAAAAAAACCTCATTCCAAGCAACTATGCCCCTGTATATTTAATCTGGTGAGGCTCTCATCTTCGGCGGCGCAGGCAATGCCTGTGCCAGTCTGGCACTTGGTACCTTCCTGTCTGTGCCTTGTTGTCAGAGTCGACTCGGTTAGCTTAGGGGCTTATTGTTCTGTAAAATGGGCTTAGGCTGAAATAGTCTAGATTCTCCTGAGACTGCGATTTTGCTTGATGTTACCTGTTATCTCTTCACTTTGTCTGTCCAATGATGCCCTGCCGCGCTTAGGCCTGGCAGGGCTCATGTTTTTTTTGTTTGATTGCTGCCCCTAGGGCGAGGTATTTCCCCATACCCTCGCACAAGGTTTGGGTTTTGGGGGCTTTGTGGTAAGAGGCCTGAGGGGCTTAACGATCGTTAGGATGGCTTCATGGTCAAGGGCTTAGTGCTTAAAAAGGGTTTTGAGCTTGCTGTGTCCTGAGTGTGCTCGAAGAGCCCGGCTTCAAAAATCGCCGTATGAGACGATCAGCAAGGCAGGTGGCAACACGGCAACCCTAAACCCTATTCCCGAAGCCCTAACCCTAAACCCTAAACCCTAAACCCTAAACCCTATTCCCTAAACCTACCAAGGGGTCACCGTGGAGCGACCACGGGGCGCATTGCGCTGGGAGCAGTGGGCACGCCGCGTGCTCGCAGCCGGCCGCCCTGGGGAGGGGCAGGGATTTAGGGTTTGTAGGGCTTGTTTGGGCCAGGCTTGAAGTTTCGATTGCCTGGGAGAGGGAGAGAGGGAGAGAGAGAGAGAGGGGGCCCTCTTAAGCGTGGAGAAGAGAAGAAGAAGAAGAAGAAGAAGAAGAAGAAGAAGGAGAGAGAAAGAGAGAGAGAGAGAGAGAGACAGAGAGACAGAGAGAGGCCATGGCCAAAGGGCCACCAGTGTGAGTGGTAGCGCGGAACTGAAGCGGGAGCGGGGCGCGCTGTCGCGCGGGGGGCCCTGGGCTCCTCATGCCCCTAAGAAAGAAAGAGAGGCCAAAGGGCTGCAGATGTGAACATAATACAGAGTGACGCGTGACCGGGGCGCGCTTGCAGCGCGGAGGACCCCCTCCATGCCCCAAAGAAAGAAAGAAAGAAAGGCAGAGAGGGGGCGGGGGGGGGGGGGGGGGGGGGGGGGGGGGGGGGGGGGGGGGGCTTGTTTGGGGCAAGGGCTATAGAGTCTAGGGTTAGGGACTCAGGGGAACAGGGTCTAAGGGGGAGGGATTAATGGGTTTCAGGGTTCTATATCCCCCCTCCCCCCCGTTTTTTTGTTTTTTTGGTTTATATAAAACCCAAGAGGATATTAAGAATATTGATTTTATTAAGGTTCTAATGGGAGTATAGGGTTGAGTATAGGGTTGAGGGCGCGGCTTGGGGTTCCGGGCTTGAGGTTGAGGGTCTAGGGCTTGGGGGTCCGTGAGCACTCGTCAGGGTCTGGAGTTTTACGAGGTTTAGGGTTTAGGGAATAGGGTTTAGGGTTTTGGGTCCCAAATCACACGTACTGATCCTAAACCCGTGTTTATGCCGTACTCTCGTCCGTTCTTGTGACCGAACCCTAAAAGGGTTTATGGTTCATTTTCCTTAACAGGAATTATAGTAGTTTCGGGTAATGACCCCAAATTTAGGGTTCATTGGGCCCCCCCCAGGTTGTAGAGTTGACGTCCAGCTACAGCAGCGGACGTATCGGTTTGAGAGAGTCAGGGAGCCCCAAAGCTTCATCTTTCTTTGGTTCGTCTCGGTCATTCGAGCATCCACCTCGTGAGATGCCCCGAGCCGGGTTAGGGTTTAGGGTTTAGGGTTTAGGGTTTAGGGTTTAGGGTTTAGGGTTTAGGGGTGTAGGTTATGGATTGGTTTGAGAAGAACTCTGCACCGCCCAGGCACTCAAGAAGCCTTGGCAGGCAGAGAACGTGCAGAGGCTGCTGAGGCTGGCCGGACCCAGAAACCATAATGTAGGTTCAGTTCTGGGTTTAGGGTTTAGGGTTTAGGGTTTAGGGTTTACGGTTTAGGGTTTTGTTTCGGGTATGTGGGATTTATAAAGCAGTCCACGGTTTCGTGGAAAGTCATATGCGCCCTAAACCTACAGCAGATCTTGACCAAGAGCATCAGACCGAGTTTCGACCTCGAGCTATACTCAAGCTTGTAAAGCCATGAACGCCTTCGAGGCACCTGGATGCTCGCGCAGTCGAGGTCGTGAGTCGGCCCCACAGCAATACTTCACGGGGTCGGTTGGAGGAGGTCCTGCCCCGAAGGCTTGCAAAACACTATGAGCCCATAAAGGCACCCGAAACTCCCCTAGGGTTTAGGGTTTAGGGTTTATAGGGTTTAGGGTTTAGGGTTTAGGGTTTAGGGTTCCTACAGAATCTTCTGGACTCTGTTGCCAGCACGGGGGCTTGGGGGTTCGACTGATAAACCTCCGGGGTTTAGGGGGCCTGGATGGGGTTTAGAGTTCAGGTTCAGGGATTAGGGTTTAGGGTTCTAGAGTTTGAGAGAGAGGGTTCAGGGTGCTAGTTTTTCGGGCTTGACGCTGTTGGATCGGACCCGAGAAGGCAGACCCGATATTTGGCGTTACTGCGCGACCCTGAAAGGGCCCTGAGGTCGTAAGACTCGCGGAGACGACTGCGAGATGCCTCTTCATGAGCTAGGGCCGGGAGTAGACCCTTATTTCCGTTTTTTTAGGGTTGGGGTTCCCTTATAATCCCCTTAAAACCAAAAGGGGTGCCCTTTTTATTCCTAGGTCACTCCCGGGTCCAGTGAAGGGACCGGTGGCTTAATCCTTGGTATGTTTACCTACGACTCCATCCAGCCCGAAACCCTAAACTCGAAACTCTAAACCATAAACAATCCTAAACCCTAGGCCCTAAACGACCCTAAACCCTAAACCCTAAACAAAAATCCTGAGCCTTAAGCCCTCAACCCTCAACCCTAAACCCTAAACAACAACCCTGAGCCTTAAACCCTGAACCCTCAACCCTAAACCCTAAACAACAACCCTGAGCCTTAAACCCTCCCTCAACCCTCAACCCTCAACCCCAAACCCCAAACCCCAAACCCTAAACCCTAAACCCTAAACCCTAAACCCTAAACCCTAAACCCTAAACCCTAAACCCTAAACCCTAAACCCTAAACCCTAAACCCTAAACCCTAAACCCTAAACCCTGAGCCTTAAACCCTCAACCCTCAAAGTCCTCACAAACCACGGCCTTGGCCCAGGAAGGCATCCCGAGGCAGAGTCGGGAGGCTCTTCGCAGGCAGGGGGTTTAGGGTTCAGGGTTCAGGGTTTAGGGTTTAGGGTCTCAAGAATCGCACCCACAAGGCAGGTAAGGATCCCTAAACTCCCAAAACCCTTAGAGAGCTCTACAAGCTCTACCGCCCTAAAGCTCTGCACGCCCCGTCAGCTCTAAACTGCAGCCCTAAAACCCCTGAACCCTATGCCTGGGACCCTCTTTACGCACGGTTTTTTGGGTTATGCGTACGAATTAAGGGTATCCCCCTCGCAAGTGGCAACACTTCTGGATTGCTCGCAATGACTGCTCGCAGAAACCCTAAATCCTAAACCCCAACCCCCCCCCCCAACAAAAAAAAAAAAAGAAAGAACGAAAACACATTTGTTTAAAGAATATATATATATACATAAATAAATCAATACATCCATAGATAATAAATAGTAATAGTAGTAATAATAATAAAATAATAATATACACCCTATAAACCCTAAACCCTGTTTGCTTTCAAGAGCTTACAAGCCCGACCCCCCCCCCCCCCCCCCTAAACAAAAGCTAAACCCCCTAAACCCCCTAAACCTCCCAAACCCCCTAAACCCCCTAAACCTCCTAAAGCCCCTAAACCCCCCAAACCCCACAAACCCCCCAAACCCCCTAAACCCTAAACAAAGAAATCCCCCCCCCCCCCAAAAAACGGGACGTTTCTTTGGGAGGCGCTCCTGTCGGGCACTGCGGGGCTGTCCAAGCCATGACCTTGGTCATGAGACTCGGTTCGTAGGATTTAGGGTTTTAGGGTTTAGGGTTGAGGGTTTGGGGTTTTAGGGTTTGGTGTTTTAGGATTGAGGGGTTGGGGTTTAGGGTTGAGGGTCGGGGGTTGAGGGTTTAGGATTGAGGGTTTAGGGTTTCGGGCTTCCTTCAAGGTTTTAAGGGCCATTTGCAGGGTTTAGTGTTCAGGGTTTAGGGTTTTCAGTCCAGCCTGGGTTCCAAAAGTACAAACCCCTAGGATTTAGGACATTACGAGGGCATAGAGAACTTCGCAGGAGTCTTCACAGAAACTAGCCATCATCTCCTGAGAGGTGCGCACATGCCTCCGTTTTTGTTCGTTCGCCCCCCTGCTTTGGGCTCACAGGTAGGCTATTAGGTATCCAAGTACTCCACGGCCGCAAGCCATGCAGCATCCACCAAAGCCCTTCCTTGCGTTGCCCCTAAACCCTGAACCCTGAACCCTGATCCCTAAATCGAAAACCTCCAAACCAAAGGCAGATCTTCTGGCAGCTTTGCAAACTCAAGAGCCCCCTAGACCTATAAACCCGGTAGACCCTAAACCCTAACGGTGTGTGCCAAATTTGAAGCGAACGATGCTGCCAAAGCCACGAAGCCAACCCTAGGCCGAGCACTGTAGCCAAGCCCTGCAGGGTCCGTGTGGTTCCGCAGGGCTTCTAGTTTAGGGTTTAGGGTTTAGGGCTCAGGGTTTAGGGGCTTCTAGCGCTTCACAAGGGCTTAGGCCTTCAAAGCTCGAGCCTTCGATCCAGCTCAGAACTCAAGAGCTTCGGAAGCCTCTCTGAGCTGACCATGGCCATGGCGGGCGATGCCGGCCCGTGCTGTTTCCGGTGCCTTCTGGGGCAGGCCTGGGCCTACCAGCTATATCCCCCTTGTTTTTTTTTTTTGCTTTTTTTTTGCGTTTTTTCTTATATTTGAAACCCAATGAGGATATTAAAAATACTGTTTTTATGAAGGTTCTAAGGGGAGTGTAGCCAACCCTCTACAGCTCTTGCAGTCGAAGCCCCGAAACTTTTGGTAAACCCTGAAATCCTGAAACCCTGAAACTCCGAAACCCTGAAACCGTGAAGCCCTCTGAAGTCCTGAAACCCGAAACTCTAGAGCCGTTAAGGCCAATTTTAAGCCCTTTTCGCAGGTCGCCCTGCAGCCGTACTTGCGGGCGCGCAGCATCCTATGCCTGGCCGCTGGGCTTGGGCTTTAACGGCGGCAAACGCGAAGATCTAAACCGGAGGCTTAGGGCTTATGGCCTGGGGGCCTATAGGGGCCCAGGGTTTGGGGTTCAGGGTTTAGGGTTTAGGACCCTAATCCCTTCTAAATCAACCAGCAGGGCTGCTGGGGTCGAGGTTGAGGCTTTAGGGTCAAAGAATCGTCGAAGTTGCTTCCAATGCATTGCAGCTCAAACCTCGAAGATAAAGCTTGGGCATTGTCTCACAAAGCGCTGAAATCTAAGCCCGATCAGGCCCGAATTCATTCACCATCCAGGATGGGCTACTGTACTCTGTAATCCCTTAAAAGGCTCTTCATAGGGTTCATTATGGGGATTATAAGGCCTAATAGCCCATCCTGAATGTGGTGTAGTGGCGTGGTGCTCCTAAACCCTGAACCCCAAACCCCAAACCCCAAACCCTAAACCCTAAACCCTAAACCCGGTGCTCACTTCTTCAGAGCGGGTTTGTAGCTCGAGGCTCGATGCGCCCGCTCGGAGTGGAGCTATTGCCTGGAGCAGGCCCCAGCTGCTAGGGTTTAGGGTTTAGGGTTAGGGTTAGGGTTTAGGGTTTAGGGTTTAGTTTAGGGTTTAGGGTTCAGTGTTTAGGGTTTAGGGTTTAGGGTTTTCTGGGGGGTTTCCGGCCTCATCCCTGGTCCGGTGCTGAGTTGATGGCTGTGACTTCCCGCTTATGTTCATGTGTGTATACACACATGTTGGCCTCTACATTTGGGTCAACGCCACGCAGATTTCCCCATCCGACAAAAGCCAACCTCGAGCCCTAAGCCCTAAACCCTAAACCCTGTTCTACCTATGATTGACCCTCCGTCCCCTGTATCCCGAAGTCGTGGCTGGGTGCTGACACCCACCAGCCCTCCACCCTCTTGAGGAGGGAAAAGGTTTTCAACTCCCAAACCCATCCAAGACGCCGCCAAGGTCCCCTCAACCCGAATTAGACCCTAAACCCTAACCCCCCCAAACCTAATAAGACCTCAACCCCCCCCCCCCCCCCAAAGCGAGCCCTAACCCTGAGACCATCTCCTGCGAGGTGAGGCAGCGCTGGCGCACGAAGGCAGCAACGCTTGAGTGCTTAGGGGAACTTGCCCAAAGCCCGGATGCAGCAGGGGTTTAGGGGCTGAGGGTTTGTGATCCCAGAGCCGAAATCCTAAACCCTAAACCCTGCTGAGGGTTCCGGGTTTCAGGCTTGCAGAGGGCTCAGGGTTTTAGGAGTCTAGCTGGCAGCCCCACAGGCCAGGAAGCACGCAAAAAAAGAGCGGCTTGGGGGGTTACTATAGGGGTCGGAAAAATTACTGATAAGATACGAGAATAATTAACCCCCAAAAACCCTGTTCTACTTATTAAGGCCCCTGCAGTAGGCTCGGCAAAAGGAGGTCCGGACCGGTCCGGATGCAAAAAGGGCTTTGGGACATGGGTTTACGGTTTAGGGTTTAGGGTTTGCAGTCCAGCTATCAGTCAGGGTTTAGGGGTAGGATGTGTTTAGGGCTTCCACCACCCTTCCGTTCCAGGCGCCCTTCGTCCTCAAGACCTCGCAGCAGAAAGCTGCAGTTCTCCGCTTACTGCCGCTTTTGGAGCGGGCCATTCTCTTCGAGAGCTTCGTCTTCAACTCCTGCAGTGTAGCCAATCCCTGCACCCCAACCCTATCAAGCTTTAACCGGCTGCCGGACCTGCACTCTAAACCCTGTTAGAGCCCTAAAGTTTTTATTGGTGCACCCACAACCCTGATAGCGTCTCAATCAGCACCAAAAGCCTGCGAAACCCAGTTTTCTAGCAGCACTCATGCCCCATGGGCCCCCAAAGTGCGATTTGGGTGTATCGGGCAAGTATAGTGTTTCCAATCTAGGGGCTCAGCGCTACGACACGCTCCGTAAAACGGAAAATAATAAAGTGTTGAGTCTTAAGTCTCGAACATATGCGGTCACTTCTCTAAACATACGGCCCCTTTTAGGGTTACTATTATATGATAGACCCGGAAGCCCTTCTATTTTTCATTTAGGCTACCCCAAAAGGGACCCTCATGATGAGAACTGACCATCTTAAACCCCCCTCAGAAAAACAAACGACCGATCTGAGAAACTTCGATGACCCGACGAGCCTTTCGGCCGAAGATCTCGAGGCCTTTGGGTTCAGGGTTTAGGGTTTAGGGTTTGAGGTTTGAGGTTTGAGGTTTGAGGTTTGAGGCTGCCGTTTGGGGTTTTGGGTTTTGGGTTTATAGGGTTTAGGGTTTAAGGTTTAGGGCTGAGGGTTTAGAGCCCAGAGAAGCCCAAGACCCCTCAAGGAACAGCAGCCCGGCACCGAAGCCTGCTCTCCAACATTTCCAAAGTTGGATTTAGGGTTTAGGGTTTAGGGTTTAGGGTTTAGGGTTTAGGGTTTAGGGCTATGGTGGATGCAGGAGAGCTGAGCCATGTTGCTGATTCAGTACCAGTCGCGCAGTCGAGCAAAAGTGCCATAGTCTAAGAACATCTCAACATACCCCAAACCCATGACCCTCAACCTTAAACAGGAGAATACAAGAAAAGGATTTTACCAGACCCCTTGATTTCCTTTAGGAGGTCTGCTCAAGGGGATATGTCGAACATTTTTTGGATGCAGGTTAATTGCTGAAAGAGTGGATCCAACCAAGCCTGTGAGTGAGAGTCGAGCGCGAAGTCCCTGTCCCCAACCCCGAAACCCTGAACCCTATAGAATCCTACTTCCCAAATCCTAAGCCCGATGCCCTAATCCCTAAACCCTGCACCCTACAAAATTCCCCTAAACCTAAAACTCTCAACCCTCCCAACCCTAAAACCGATAAGAAACCCTAAAACCCTAAACTCTTAAATCCCTAAACCCTGAAACCCTAAACCCCCAAACCCCTAAACCTCCAAACCCCCAAACCCGTAAAGCCCTAAAACCCGAAGCGTGCAGGTTGGCGCAAAGCGGTGGATGTCCCACCGCGGCGTGGCGCTGGAGCGAATGGGCCTGTCGGAGCGCTCCTGCCGTTGAATTCTAGGGTTTAGGGTTTAGGGTTGAGGGTCTTTGGCCTCAGGTTTTGGGCTTAGGGTTTAGGGCTTGGAGTTTAGGGTTTGGGGTTTCGGGTTTAGGGTTCAGGTGTTGGGGTCACGAGTACAGGGGACTTGGGGACTGCCGGGCTTACAGATCTCATCGAGGCGTGCGAAGTCTCTTGGGAGAGAAAGGTTTTTGGCTTTAGGGTTTGGGGTATGGGGTTTGGGGTGTATGGGGTCTGTGTTGGCATGGTCCGTGTAAGAGGTACTTTGGGTTTCATGAGGTTGCGGGTTTTAGCAAAGGGTCGGGATGAGGCAACCTGGATTTGGAATTCGCTGGGCGTGTTTTTATTCTTTGGCCCTTTGGCCACATGCACCGCCATATGTGCAAACCGGCCCCTGCGGTCCTGCCCTGAGATCATATTTAGGACTACTTAGGATTCTTCAGGATCATTTAGGATTGTTTAGGATTATTTAGGATTATTTGGGATTATTTATTTTCGGATTATCCTCATCAAGGCAGGGTCGTTGCAGACCCAATTGCGCGGGGTTTTTTGCCCCGCAACTGGATCCCTGAGATGCAAACTCATGGGTTCCCATCCTCCCGCCCTCTACACAACCCCCCCCCCCCCCCAAGCCTAATTAAGCTTATCAAGGGGGGAACCTAGGCGGGGTAGTATTAAGGTGTTTTTAAGGTGGGAACCTAGAGGAGGGTAGTTTTGAGGGGGGGGGGGGGGTAGGGGAACCCATGAGAAATCG